GAGGGGGAGACGGGGAGAGAGATAGGGAGGTGGAGGAAATGGGGAGATGGGAAGGGGAAAGCGCGAGGGGGCAGAGGGGAGGGGAAATGGAAGGAGAGGAGATGGGGAGGAGGGAAAGAGGGGGCAGAGGGGGAGGGGGGTTATGAGGGAGGGAAGAGCGGCAGAGACGTCATTAATCGGTTACAAAGAATAAAGATAATGATGGTATTAGTAATACATCTGTTCCTGACCAAATATCAAAACAGAGTTCAAATTCAGCAATGAAAGTTCAAATATTAAAATAAATTGTCACATTAATTCAACATAGAAAGTTCAAATTCAACACATTAGAAAACGTAAGCAAATGTCAGCTCAAATGTGATCATAGGAGAGCTCAAATGTAAACACTAGGGAAACCAAATTCGTCATTGTCAGTTCAAATGCAGCATAGGAAAATTCAAATTCAGCAATACGAAAAACTACGAAGCTAAGATGTAACCATCATTTCTTAATCAGGGGAAGCTACTCTGTCTCTTAGCAACGTTCGTTGTTTACTGTTCACGTCTCTCGCATTCAATACCCACCGCCTGCTCTCTAGAACTAGATTTATACATTTTCTCGATCAAATATCAAGTAGTGAGTTCAAATACAGCAATGAAAGTTCAAATATGTGTCTCTTAGCTACATTCGTTGTTTACTGTTCGCGTCTCTCTCCGTCACCTGTCTTGATCTAGATCTAGATCTAGATCTAGATCTAGATCTAGATCTAGATCTATCTAGATCTTACCGTCGCCATCATCTCGTTTTGTTAGATCCAACACTTTGACCGTTGTAACAGATCTTACCAGGAAGACACAGCAACATATTAAGCATGCCTGACCAAAATCAAATAATACAAAGAGTCAGTCTCGAGGATTAATAAAGAATGCCCGTATAAGAGAAGCCTTTCTGCGAGGTGACGATTACATATAATGCTCGCTAAATAGTTGCAAATCAACCGAAGAAATACTGCATACAGTACCATACACCATGCGATCGAAACTGACGACGTTGTCGAAAAGAGATTTGGGAAAGTAACCACGGGAAAAAAAAGATGAGCTGGTTTCGATAGTCAACAGCAACCCAGATTACACTATCAACAAAATGAAAACAGGTCTTCGAATGGCCCTGCCATACACATTTCGCATATGTCGCTGAGGCTACTTTGAACAGATCTTAAAAGAGAGAGAGAGAGAGAGAGAGAGAGAGAGAGAGAGAGAGAGAGAGAGAGAGAGAGAGAGAGAGAGAGAGAGAGAGAGAGAGAGAGAGGGGGGGGGGTGGGGGTAGAGGGGCAGCGGGGGAGGAGGGTTGCTCAAGACCATATTATTGTGTTTAAAATATATGTGTTGAAGTTGAACTGACAAATCTTGAATTTGATCTGTCTGTTGTTACAATTGATAGCACTATTTTGACATTTGAGCTTCCTAGTGTTACACAATTTGCTGTCTCTATTTTGACGTTTTAAAACTTTTTACGTTGAATTGTTAAATAAATTTTATTATGTTTCATTTGAACGCTCTATTTTGATATTTGATCGGGAAAAGGCGTACAATAAAGTACGTGAAACATGTACAATATGTCCCATGATACAAAACTAATCCGCTCAAATTATGTGACACGACAAATTATGTGAAACAACAAATAATAATAATAAATAATAGATAGCATTTGTATAGCGCATATCCCCTCTCAACAGCAGGCTCTATGCGTTTTACACTATATTATTACCCCAGCAGACCATAGAACACTCCGAAACATTCTCAGCTTCCTGGAAGCATACAGTGCAAGCAGCTGATTAAACGCTCAAACACTAACAAACTGACAAGATCTTTCGCTGTCTATAGCCGGGTACCCATTCCCACCTGGGTGAAGTGAGGAAAATTTGTGCAAAGTTCCTTTCCCAAGGACACAACGTTGGGGCCCTGACAGGATTCGAACCCATGACCTTACGGTTGCGAGTCCGTGAGCCTAACCACTATTCCACCGGCGATGTGAAACAACAATTTATGTGAAACAATAAATTATGTGAAACGACAAATTATGTGAAAGCAACAAATTGTGTGGAACAACAAATTATGTGAAACAATAAGGCACAATAATAATAAACTACTCCGCTCACCTCCACAATGCGTGAGCCCGTACTTCTGAAAGCCTTGCCGACAGTGGCACAGGTAGGAGCCAGGTGAGTTCTCACAGGTGTGGTCACAGGTGGTGTTCAGTCGGCACTCGTCGATGTCTGGAGACACAGGACAGACTCGCCGTGAATTGTCAGGATAATAGCAGCAATAACAACAACAAGAATAAGAACAACAGCAACAAGAATAACAACAACAAGAATAACAACAGCAACAACAAGAACAAGCAGAAGGAGAAGAAGAAGAACAACAACAACAACAACATCAACAAGAACAAGAACAGAAACAAGAGCAAGAAGAAAAAGGAGAAGACCAACAACAATAACAATAATAACAACAGTAAAAACAATAACAATAATAATGATAAATGTAGCAATAATAATATAATAGTAATAATACATGTAATAATAATAACAATAACAATGACTGTTATTATTATTATTATTATTATTATTATTATTATTATTATTATTATTATTATTATTATTATTATTATTATTATTATCATAGCATACTACGAACTTTCCCCGAGGGTGGTTGGTGAGCGCTCTGGAGTGGTCTGCTCCTTCTGTTGTAACAGTCATGTATCACCCTAATCTCTCCTCCCCTTTTGTCCTATGCTATTTTCTTAAAACATCCCTAATCTTCGACACTTACATGGCCTAGTGGCGTTGCGATAAATGCTGTAAAACACTCCCAAGAACAGAAACGAAATATGAAAGGTGCTGCCAAAATGAGTTAGCTTACTTTTCGTCTTTCACAAATGAGTAAATTTGCAGATTTTCAAACGATGCCATTTTCTTCACGTTTCACGTCATGTCTTTTATTATTTCCAACTAATGAATTGCAAAATTCAGCCTATCTGTTCAATATATATGAGGCATCGTGGTGAAATCATGTGCTCGTCAAAATAATGAAATAAAAGAAACTGGCATATATTTTCTGGCCGTAGCGCAATTTTTTTTTCAATTTTTTTGGGGGGGCTCAACACCTTTTATGTCTATTTATAAACATATTTCTGTGTGGATTTTACTGAAAAACATTGATTAAAGACACACAAAAATGTATATTTTCGGTTTCCAAGGAATCTCAAGCTATGGAATTTACCAAACTTAGGCAGCCATTTTCTTATTAATTTTACCTCTGAAACCAGGCAACCCCCACCTCCTTCAGTCGCAAATATCTCGACGTCTATTCAACATTCGAGGGGTGATCAAGAGGTCTTTGGTCTAAGTATGAATGAATTTCTCTCTATATGCAGAGTAACGTATTTCTGCCATCTGTCTTTGACCTTCAAATGTCCTTGAGAGAAAAATGACCCAGAATGTGCCCCAAACCAGCCTTCAACAGCTTCAATGGCGTCCTCGTTGTCATGGAAATTACATCCTTTAAGTTACTTTTTAAGATTAGGAAACAGAAAAAAGTCTGAGGGAGGCTAGGTCTGGTAAATAAGCTGGGTCTGGCAGGATTTCAAAGCTGCACTGTTCTGCTGTCTGGACTGTTTGTTGTGCCCTGTGCTCAGGGGCGTTGTCGTGCAATAGGAGATCCCCATTTCGTAGTTTTCCACGTCTTTTTCTCACCGATTCAGAGAGCAATTTTATCAGCAAACCCGAATAGTAGTCTCCTGTGACTGTTTTTCCATTTCCCAGGTAGTCAGTCATGATGATACCTTCATAATCTGAGAAACGTGATAGGATGACCTTTCCACTTGACGGTGTTACCTTTGCCTTCTTTGGTGAGGGAGAAGAGAGGGTTTTTCATTGTATGGAGGACATTTTGTATTCTGGATCAAAATGGTAAATCCATGTTTCATCCATAGTTACCATGTTTTTAAAGAAATTTGTGTTATTGGACTCAATTCGAATGAGAGTTTTGCAGGACTCAACTATCTGCTTCTTTTCCTCACTTGCCAAAAGGCGGGGTACCTACCGCGCAGACATTTTATTCATGTTAAGATTGCCAGGGAGAATCGTTTCAATTAACCCTACACTGATTTTCATTTCACTTGAGAGCTGTTCAACAGTTATACGTTGGTCTTATAGAATCAGTTTTTTCCACTATGGATACATTCTCTTCAGTTACCACAAAGGATGAGTGCCCTTCCCTATCTTCATTCATCACTGACATGAATCCAGATTTGAATTTTCTTTCCCAGTATGTCACAGTATTATAACGAGGACATTGAATTGTCACCATACACTTGAACCATTTCTTGAAAAATATCCGAAGAAGATTTTCCTTGCAAGTGTAAAAACTTGACAACTGAGCGATATTCAACAGACTCCAGGGCACCCACCCAGCCCACAGCTTCAGCAAAGAAAAACCAAACGTTTTTGTGCTTGGTTTCATTGAACACGCCGACTAGTACCTTATTATTGTCAGATTTTTCCAAAAATGTGCATTGTGTTTTCCAAAGAAATTGCCTAAAGGCAAGCAAAATTCCATTTCTCCACAATGATTCCTTCATACCCAGACCAAAAACGTATTGAACTCCACTCGTAGATGGATTTTTCCCCCACCAAAATAAAGCAAGGCCAATAAACAGGCTCTAAGATGACACCTATAACCCCATAAGCTCAAAACTTGAAGAGCGCCTGATTCCACCACGTCGTAACACATATCTACGAGTATTTCTACAAGGCTTAAATATGGAGTTGTGGTTCATAAGACGCATGCTACGTATCCCAAGGACAGCTAAAAAAACAAATGAAGAAGTCTTGGTTGAAGCAAATTGCAGAAGACAGCTTATGACGAATATAAGAAAGCGAAAGGCACATTTTTTCGGACACACAATGCGGAAAGAAGCATTGGAGATTATTTGATGGAAAGAGAGGCAGAGGTAGACAGAGGGTAAAGATACTGGACAAGATGACAACATGGCAAGGAGCAGCAAGAACAACAGACATCATTGCTGCAACACAAGATAGAGTGAAGTGGAGGTCCATGATCGCCCACACCAGTTGACAAGGCACCGGACAATGATGATGGAAATATGGAGAAGTAACTCAGTAATTTCTTAGCACGTCTCACAATTACAATCAATGTGCCTCACCGATGCATGTCTTGTCGTCCATGCCGACCTTGTATCCAGAGGGACAGACACACTCGTAGCCTCCCCTTACGTTCTCGCAGCGGTGGGAGCAGCCGTCTAGCTTGTGGGCACA